ACTGACGCACATGAAGACCGATTATAAAACACGCCGTCTCCAGCGTCTTGCACTACTCTACACCAGTGCCTCCGCTGACATCGTCTCCACTCACCATCTCACGTCTCTCCACTCTTGACATGGCGTTCAGATCTCAGCGTTTCTCTGGCAGGTCTTTCTCTGCGGCCAGCAGCCGTTCGATGGCTCCCGGCAGCTTCTCCAGCTTTGGAAGTCAGGCGATGATGGCTGGAGGTCTGCAGAGCGGCGCCGGCTTGGGCTTCAGATCTGGAGCCAGTTTGGGCTTTGGGTCCGGCGCTGGATTGGGCTTCGGATCCGGTTTTGGGTCTGGTTATGGCGCGGGTGGAGGTTCTCTCTCGGGTAGTTTGAGGATGGTTGGAGGCTCTCTCTCGAGCGCAGGAGGTGGAGGCTCCGTCGGGGGGAGTTTCAGGGCGGGCGCAGGGTCTTTCGCAGAAGCCATGTCCAACGTCATCAACGAGAAACAGCAGATGCAGGTTCTGAACGACCGTCTCGCGACCTACCTGGAGAAGGTGAAGCGTCTGGAGACCACGAACCACGAGCTCAACGAGAAGCTACGTGCGTTCACTGTCAACAGAGTCCAGAACAGCTTCAACCTGGAGCCCTACGAGATCCAGATAAAGCCACTGCGCCAGAAGGTGCCCAGATTTTCTGCATGCGTTTCAGTGTTCCATTTGACAAATACTTAATTGGCATCGTTGTTTTTACATATGATATTGTCATATGCATATAGTGTTATAGCTACTCAAAACAATGACAAGAAAATGAGATATACAGTATATCAATAGCAAATAACAATAAAACCGTATTAAAGTAATGTGCTACGCATCTGACATGATCTGTTTTCTCTTTCTCCAGCTTCTGCTTCTCATGCAGGACCACACACGCATGGCTTTAGCCGTAGACAACGCCAAACTGGCAGCTGATGATTTCAGAATGAAGTAAGTTTGATTCACATCAGTTTAAGACTGGATGAGCCACATTCAAAGCTTTAATTAATCACTGTAAAACATGGTTAAATGCCCATCCTCACTGACGACTTTAACTATAAGTATAACTATATCAGCGTCCACACCATGTGCGGTAACTATAACGATAACTATATTAGCATCCACACCATGAGCGATAACTATAATGATAACAATATTAGCATCAACACCATGAGCGATAACTATAATGATAACAATATTAGCATCGACACCATGAACGATAACTATATTAGCATCCACACCATGAGCGATAACTATAATGATAACAATATTAGCATCCACACCATGAACAATGACTATAACTATAACTATATTAGCATCCACACCATTAGCGATAACTATAATGATAACAATATTAGCATCGACACCAGTGGACGATAATGAACGATAACTATAACTATAGTGATATCTATATTAGCATCCACAGAGCAATAAATTTAACTATACTTTCGTCAACTGCCGCTTTAAATACTCGAGCTCTTTAAAGCAAAATGGATTGTGATTGGCTGTCAATGTTTTTATCGTTCACCAGCTGGAAAGAAAATCGCTCTGTAGGTGATTCCAGCGATATCGTTCGTCTGTGTCATTATCGTTATAGTTGTGGTGCGGATTTCCTTTTCTCATAGCAGAACGATTACTAATGCGCTGCAGTTGTCGTTATGGTGTGAAGAGTGAAATTGAGCGTTTTAACCGTGCCGCGCAGGTTCGAGACGGAGCTGGCCATGCGTCAGTCTGTGGAGGGAGACATTGCCGGTCTGAGGACCCTGAAGAAGGAGTACGACTCCACCAACGCCATCTTACTGCCGGAGGTCACAGGCCTGGAGAAGGAGTGCGCCGCTCTCAGAGACGCGCACCAGGAGGTGACCACACTTTCCTTTCACACAGCCATGAAAAATATTTATTTATATGATCACTTATTATATGTATAATATAATTTATGTAATATTATAATTGTAGTGTAATATAATTTATAATAAAAATGAATATAATTACATTATATTTAAACACACATATATATACATTTATTATTTATTATATATTAGCTATGTATAATAATAAATTTTTTACGGAGCGTCTATTTACACTAAATGCAAATTGCTCGCCTTGTTGGCAGAAGCTATTTACACTAACTCCGCCCATCCAGGCCAAAACAGAGGGGCGTTTTCCACCATGTTACCTGATTGGCTGACGTCATAGTGACGGATAGGTTTAGGGGTGGGGTCACACCCAGCAGTTTGAAAACACCCACAATGTCAGAAACGCCCACTTTTTGCTCTGCGGAGACCTCAATCTCCTTTTTGACGCGATCGACCCGAGTTCGAATCCGCCTCAAATCTCATATCGCTTCGTAAAGGCATTTATTTTTAATAAAAATGAAGGAGATAATTGAAAAGTTGAAAATATTAAGTATCGGGTAGGTGTAGGGAGGGATTCATTGTCCCAATAAGGTGGCATCCATTTAATTATTTAAATTAAAACGATAATTTACACTCAATACGTTTTATTGCATAATGTACTACAATACTGAGGTGCAGTTAATTGCCACTACTATTATTTGCAATAATAGTATAAATAGCAGAAAATACTGTTATTTTAACACCGTGTACATAGAATCTATCACTATTTGCACTTAGTATAAATAGCATTTCGCTAAAAATACTGCTGTTTTCACTTAGTTTAAATAGAATCCATTGCTATTTGCATATACTGTAAATATCATCTAAGAAAATATGCTGTTTTTACGCAGTGTAAATAGCCGCTTTATATAAATTTACATATTTTTATATAATTATTTATATATTTTATATATAAAAAATATATAATTGATTTATGTATTTTTGATAATGTTGCGAGACCTAATAAATATGTG